GTCCTTCTAGGAACAACTTAAAATGGGTTTGTTCCCTAATATTCTTTCAATTGAATTTATTCTCATCCCCTACAGCTACTTTTATAAGTCTTTTGGCATAGCTGAGGCTGATACCACAGATGGTCAGATGGTTCTGAGCCCTTCCTAGGAAGGCTATCCTCCATCTCATTAACTCAAATTCCGGAGTGACCACATTCCTTACTCCATCATGGCAGATTTCGTTCACTCTTCTATCCATTATTTCTTCATCCATTACATAACTACAAGTCTCTTTGAACTACTTATTCTGGCGAAATAAGATATTCTTAAGTCACCACAGAGCTCGTAAGAGGTGGCCATAATCCCCAAGATCGATGGCGCAAGAACCTACTCCACTCCCCCCTCCCCCTCCATCTCCCAAGATATTTTATTGCTCACCTTTTGGTAAAAACAGATCAGCTAAGGTAGAATTAGAAAAATCGTAAATCATACGCAATTACACTGCGATATATTCCATATTTTTCCGGATTTTCCCGAAGTCCGAAAATTCATAACTCCGTCGAAAATGTGTTCCCCTCAAAAATTCAAAAACCCTTCAAAATATGCCTCCATCAATGATGGCGCAAGTTGCGGACCCCTTCTGGGCACCTCTGGAGCTCGTGTAATCCAGCAATTTCTCTTTTTTTGCCATATATCGTTTTCATGGACTATTTATTTATTTATTTTTCTCTTCCTTCCATTTCTCTCGACAATACGGAATTCCATTTTATTGTATATAATAATAAAATTTAACCCTTTTCTTGTTAAATTCCTCTTTTCCTGTTATACTTCTATCCTGGAATTACTCCAGATTGAGATTGTGGAAGGCTCCATCCTACTCCCATATTGAAATTGCACCTATTACCTTCTTCCACCCAAACACGAATGCCTCGTAGTATAGTTAGTTATCTGCAGCGACGATTAAATGTAAATCTCCTTCGTTTTTCTGGACTGTCCATTCAAAGCGCCTGTGGATACACATTCCAAATCTGTCCTGTCCACCAATTATGAATTGTTCTTATTTAGTGCCCAAAATTCACACGCGTAATCACTACAGGCCGAATCAGTGTTCTATAGAAGACAATATTTGTTTTACGATTACAATATTTTGTTCCATTAATTTGTCACTGGAACAAAATCCACGATTCTCAGTCAGAATTTGTTTTACTTCGGTTTCTTTCATTCTTTATTTACTTAAGATAACTCAGCTAAAGTATTGGAAGCTGTGGATGACCTCAAAAATACGCGTCCATTTGAACAAATTTTATTTTAATATCAGCAGTTTCGTCTTTTTTTCATTTATTTTTTTATTCTAAACTTTCTAATTTTACCTCATCTTTGCAGTTTTTTTTTCCTTTTGGTTTATCCCCTACCAAACAATCTCTTGTCCGAGATTTTATGCAGTATATCTACTGTTAATATGTTTTTTATCCGCTTTTAATTAACTATTGAACCTTTTTGGCTCTTTCTTCATCTTTGTGAAAAGCCAGATTCCGAGCTTAATTTTTCGGAGAGCATTTTATTTATTGTTTAAGTTTTATCATAAAGTGGTAAATGGTCTGAGACGAAGGCCTGTATATGAACTCACATCCTCGAAACTATTAAAAAACTTTGCCTCACAGGCAGCCATTTTGTCTCTAAAAAATGGATGTAGTATAAATCCAAATGTTCCTAAATGCCATCAATATTTGAACCATTAAACGAAAATGGGACAGAAGTCGCTTTCCAGTGGATACCAGGCCATTGCGGGCTCCACGGAAATGATGAAGCTGACAAACTGGCCAGAATAGGTTCTGGAATGATCCAACCCGATATTCCTCTGGCCATGGATTCAACAAAAAGAATCATAAAACAGACCCTCCAAAGTTCACTGAAAGAGAAATATGTGCAAACAATTGAAGGGAAATGATGGAGTGGATTGCTGGAAGAAAGTGGCAGGATTCCTAGAGACCTTCTTAGAGGGCAAACCATGCTTTAGAATGCTCACAGGCCATGATTTCCTTCAGAAGCACCTCCACCGCATCGGTCTAATAGATAGCCCGACATGCCCTTTATGTTCCTTAGACATGATGACAGGAGAACATCTTGATACATGCCCTGCATTACAGGACATAAGATGTTCCTTTAATGAAATGGACAGCCCTTATGCTCGAAGAGAAAAACTGTATTGGACTGCAAGAGCACGCATGGCTAATGAAGCAGGCGTTATTTAGGCGTAGGAAAAAAAAAAAAATTAAAAGAATTGGGTGAATTAAGAAGGTTCTTTACGTTGGGGTTTATACTCATTATCCCTAGTGCCTTGAAAATTTACAAAATGGGCTACAAAATTGATCATGCACTCTTCTTTCTCTTTCGTGTTTTTTTGTTAGCTATAAAATAGCTTATGTATTATATTCCAATTGTTGGTATAAATTTTACTTCTTTTTCCATTTGTGCATAAAAACCCAAAATAATTTTAATTTCATATGTTGGGCCTATGTAGGCATTCATATGTAGGCAACATAAATAGGTTTTGATTTGTCTCTTGTATAACTCTTCTTTGAGTTCTTCAACATTTTCTTCATTGCAATGGTGATAAATTATAATCGTTTCTTCCTCATGACCAGCAACTTTTAAAGTAGTGGTCGCATTAATAATGTCTTTCTTTGGTACGAAAATTAAATGAACGGACATCTTATTTAATCTAATAGAGATGCTAAGCAGAGTTGCATGATTAACTGAAACTTCCATTCTGGCGAAACGTTCAAGTAGTGTCAGTGGAATGGCTTTGCATGCCTCTTTAAGACTTATATTGCCTACATATTCATATATTCACATGACATATGATCGTTTATAACACAAGTTGAGATGTTTAGGAAATGAAGTAAAATAAACGTTATTATATATGAAATATTCTTATTTGCCAAATTTATTGTTTCAATACTTGTTGGCTCATGCGAATAATTCGCATAGCATATTATTCTGTGAACTATTGACAATATAATGTAGAAATAAGTTAGTGCAATATATTATGAGATGAAGAAAATTATTTTCTTATTCACAGTCAGGTCACATTAATTCATTCATAATAAGAAATAAAAAAATAAACATGTGTAGATCACTATAGGCTGTATCTTTGCTAATAATTTCCCGATTACGATGATTTTTTGTTTGTTTTATAAGGATGCAATCAACAAACAAGTGCACTGTTGGAAATCTGAATTATTTATTTTCGAAACCATATCGAGAACGTTTAGATTTAACGCCTCCAAAAGAAATAAAAATAATGAAAAACCCTCACACTTTTTATTTTATACTTCCAACTCACTTTGCTCCTTCGGCCGGTAAAAATTGTTTCAGATGTACAAATTTCTAAATAGATTTTCATGTTGTTTTTTTTGTGTGTTTTTTCCTTATATTTTTAGGAAATTTTGTAATCTTTCAAATAATCATGGTTGCAATCGACAAAAAATGTATACTTTTTGAATTATTCACAAACAAAACTTATTTTCCCTTATTCCTTTTTTTTTTAAGTTCGGGAAAATATTACTATAATTCGTCACTTTTTTATGGAATCCTCTCATCATTTGATACCTCATTCATCCAAACCTATCGCTCCGGAAAGCCGGAAAAGGAGTCTACACTGTAAAAACTGTTGTATTATAAATAAAGATAGATGTTTGTATCATGTAGGGTTTCGTGTTACATCCTAAACTTATTCGATGCTCAATCGATACTTGAACAAGGAATGTTTAAGGAAATAAGAAATATCAAATTGTCTTAGCGGAGAAATATAATCGTTCGTAAGACAAGTTGAGATCTTTAGATAAAGAGGTAAAATATTGTACAACTCATTGGCAGATATGAACTTTATAATAATAATAATTATTCTTTAAAAACCCAAAAGAGAGTGCAAATACGAATAGATTTGAAGTTAAAACACTTAAGAAGGGTGAGTTTAAAACTGTGCACATTTATTTTGGATTTTGTTTATTATATAAAAAAAAATGTTTGCTCTCTAAACCTGGGTGTCTATTGCTGGAGCAATATATGCTGTTAGAATTTCCTCAGTTTTTTAGGAATGCTTAACTGATTTTGTGTCTAGAAAAAAATATTTAATAAAACATTAAATTTGCTACCAATTAAATCCATTTGCAAATATTCATCGTCAGAACTAAAGCTGTGGTTCGCATTTATGTTGAAAAATAGCACTTTTACTTTAAGTATATTTCATCTCTTCGTATTCGACTTTTTGAAGTAAACGTCTTTAAACGGGTTTTGCGGAGAGTGAATTAGATTAAGCCGTGAAATCTCTGATATGTAACGCTCGGGTAAAGTCAGCTGGAGTCGAATAATTGAAGTATTTTTGCATGTGGATTAAAATATCTCAAAAATTAAAAATCGGACCTGCATATTATTGGCGAGGGAAATGTTCATTGTTTCATCCTCTTTGTAATAGGAAGAGGCTAAAAGGAAAAAAAAATAGTGTGAAAAACCAAATTATAACGAGTTTTATTGAAGATATGGATTAAAATATCTCTGAAATTAAAAATTGGACCTGATTACTGTAAGCGAGGAATATTTTCAGAATTTCATCTGTTTATAATGAGCTATTATTTATAATTTCTATTTCATATTATTAATCTCGTCTTGTTGGTGTTTTCATTTCTATCCTGTGTTCTAAAGCACACCCCTTTTTTTTAGTTTTTTTTTTTAAGTTTTATCCCCAAGCTCAGTGAGGTTGTTTGATCAAAAAATTGATTATTATATATTCTCAGTAACGATAACCCAATAAACAAGTCATGAGCCGAATCGCTCGCTAAGGTCCATAGACTGATCTGCTTCCTACTCGAGGGCCAAGGTCCTTCCTAAGAGAACTATATATACCAGCGGCCCGGAGGGCTACGGTACAGTTGTCTTTTCCAACAGCCAACAGCACCTCCTCAACATGAAAACCTTCTTTGTGAGTATAATAAGTTTTGTTTTAATTTAATATATCGTCAATGTCAGTAAGAAAAATTTAACAAAGTACACAACATTTTGATTTATTGTAATATTTTATTTTTGCCGAAAATTTATTCAGAGAAATTAATTTTTAATTTTTACTCTTTGATATTGTACCACTTACTAATAGCACTTATATATGATTTAATTTTTTTTTTTTTAATTTTACAACTAGGGTAAGCTGACCAGCGATGGACAAAGCTTAAGAAATTTTTGTCTTTTTTGGCATATGCCGCCGTAATTATTATACAATAGTTATAAACTTCTCCGTTGGACATTTAGAATCTCTAGAGTCGCCTTTTTCTATTAAACTCTTTAAAAGTGAAAATTATTCAGTCATACAGGTATAATAATCGTTTAAATAAAACATCTTTTTGCACTAGTGATGGACACCTCGAACTTCAATTGTTCTAGTGATGGACAGAGAGTCATTACCAGTAATGGACATAACGGAAAAATCTAAAATTTTTATTTAACTATAAAGATAACGATAAAGATATGATAACATAAATTTTAAACTTACTCGACAAAACTGTCAGTAGGAAGATATGAAACACACTGATCTCAAGAACACTATGGAAACAACAGTGATAGGCATTCTAAAATTTTTTCCTGGGAATTTTGTTCATACATTTGTCTATAGACGGTATTGTTTTTCAATTTAGAAAAAATGGTACCTTTAAATCAACAAGAAAGCTTATTATTTACATTTAAAGTCCAATCTGTTCATCACTGAGCCTCTGTACATAACTGGTGTCTTCACGTTAAGTGGCTCCACATTGAGACAGACAAATACTTCTTACATACACTTACTGCCATAATAGCTTATCAATGTATTTCATTAGTCGATGGACATATTAAACCACATTGGTCTGCATTCATATAAAGAAAAACAATCCTTAGGCGCTGATGATTAGAGAGTTTTGCGCCTCTAAACCAAAAAAAAAAAAAAAAAAAAACCTATCATATTTAATAATCAACATTTTTGGTTTGAATTAAACTTCTTTTCTTTTTTTTTAAAGTTTCTTAAATTTACTATTATCAATACAATAGTTTAATTTAATAATATGTAGAACAAAATAAAATTTAAATCTAAAGGTAGTCTCTCGAGTTTCAGATACTGTTCTTATTAATAAATATAAATTTAATATTGTTACCAATTGCGGTTTTCGTTCACCCTTGATTTTTTTGTTAATCTGGGTAATCGAAGTTCCAACCCGCACCACTACAACCCATGAAGGGTCTTGGATTCAGTACTTTGTAAGAATACTCTGTTTTAAAATTGTAATAGTGCTTACTTAACCATTTCTTAGCCAAGCATCCATTTAGAAATATATCATTTCACATAAGCAGGCCAATTGTGATCTGAAATACTAAAAACATACCTGTTTGCTTACAATCAGTCACAACCATTGGACAATTTATGTGTTCCTTAATGAAATAAACATAAAACTTAAAAGCCTAAATCAAATCATTTTTATAGTTGAGAAGTTCCCAACTTCCCAACCATGTGATCTACAGTCAAGTATTTCTGCTGCATGAATCATTTTTATTTTGAAGTTGAAATTTGAAAAAAGGAAGATGTAATAATATTTTTTATTTTATTTTACCTTCTAGGTTATTATTTAAATATTTTTATTAATTTCTTTTATAGGTTTGCCTTGTCGTCGTAGCCGCCGCAATGGCCGCTGAGCAGAGGGACAAGAGAGGACTGCTGGCCTCAGCTCTTGCCGCCCCCTTGGCAGTTCCGTACGCCGCACCATACGCCGCAGCTCCAGCCCTCGTCGCTCCTAGGGTAGCCTACGCCGCACCAGCTTACGCCGCTCCCGCCTATGCTGCCCCAGCCTACGCCGCTCCCGCCTATGCTGCCCCAGCCCTCGCCGCACCACTTCATGCTCCTCTCCTCTCCAAGACCATCGTCTCCCCATACGCTGCTCACGCCCCACTCGTCTGGTAAAGGAATCATCAGAGAAAACTAGATGTGCTCATGAATATGATACATATTTTACCATTTGTTAATATTTATTATAAACAATAAATTTGTAAACTAAATCATTTTACTTATTTACCTCGGTTATCATACATAATTTATTAACTATTTTTTTTATATATGAGGATTCTTTGGGGAAGAGTTATATGGATTCTTAGGTTTAAGTCACCTCTTCAACAAACAATGGAACAGATAACTTGTCAACGTTTCGCTAATTCAGGCCATCATCTGGGCAGAAAAAAAAACAGGATTACATATGAGCCTTTTATTTTGAAACTGGCCTACGTCCATTTATAATTAAATTGAGATATTTAAGGGTTTGCGTTTCAATCCAACTAAAAATATACGTACAAAAATGAGTCATACTTTTAAGTGTAACGGGTTAAATTTATAGTTCCTATTAAAATATAGGAATTTAGTAAGTGAATAATATAAGTTTTCTTATTTAGAATGAGTTAGGCCACTTTCAAAATGAACAACATGATTCGTTCTAAAATTTAAGGGAGCCTAAGTCCATTCAACATAACTTAAGATACTTCAAATTGAAAAAAGAAAAAAAAAAACAGTACTCAATTTATTTTATATATATTTATTACATTTCAAAAACATAATTTATGCGATTCAAAGCACTTCTTAACTACAGAAACTACAAAACAATTTAGTGGCCATCTACATTTTGTGTGTGTGAAATGGATATAAAGAAATCAATCTGTTATATATCTTGATGTAAAGATTTCTATAGTTGAACAATAATATGTTTATAAATAAGAATACTGTAATCATTTGATAAAAATAACTTACAAGATATGAAAAAATTTTAAAATGTGAAAATTTAAATAAAAATAGTTAACATTTCCAAAAGATACACGATTTTCTTTAGGTTAAGACTAAAACGAATTAATGATGACTTCTGTTTTAACTTCAATACAAGTATGGTTAGTTTCACGACTTTAGGTTTTTTAGGAACCTTATTTTCAAGATTCAACCATTGCGATCGACCAAAAAATTCAAAAACTTAACTTCCTCTCAAAATTTGAGGTTTCACATTTCAGGACGCGTAGGATTCGAAAAACGAATAAAAATTTTTTTGTCCGTCCGCCGTCCGCGCATTTTCTCCGAAACTACTGGACCGAGTTTTTTCAAAATTGGATATAAAATCAGAGGTCACCCGAGGATGATCCTCCTTCATCGACATCACTATCCTCTTTTTACTTTCAAAATGGCGACCGAAAAACCTGTGTTGCTATAGACTGTAGCTCCTAAAAGAATGTCCCGCTTTCAATGGAACTGAGCTAAAGTCATTTTCTTGACGCCCTTTAAATTTATCTATATAACATACTTCAACGAAAAGAAGCTGGAAAAAAAGTTACGAGGGACGGTAAAATTTAATTTCGAATAACTCAAAAAGTTTACGGAATTTCCTAAAAAAAAAAAGTCGTTAAAATCGGACAATTAGAAGCAAAAATATGGTCTCCAATTTTTTTTATATGTTCTACACCAAATGTTATATCCTTTGTTTGGTTTTTAAATTTTGAATGTGTTACTGAAGTAATGCTATTTTTTTTAGCCTATTACTAATGATTAAAAAAAAAGTTTAGTCCAATAATTGGAATCATCTTTTATTTATTTTTCTTTGTAACTCGGAAGGTAATGTTACTTTAGATGCATAGTTGTTCGGAAATAATAAACCATTGTGAAATAGTTTGCAGCATTTTTTTTTTCAATTTACTATTTTCCGTCCATTGGTTCCTAAATCATTTAAAACCGAAAACTTGATATGTAATATCAGTCGTTGATCATCACACAGGTGCTTATGATTAACAGAATAACATCAGAAATTTGTGTGAAAAAACTAAAAGGGCACTTAAAAAAAAAATCATGAAATGATTCCCATTACTAGTGATTCTATGAACACTGTACTGACACTATATGAACACTAAATATCTTTTTCTGTTCCAAATTCATTCGACGTATAAGCGAATATCAGCGAAACATTTTTGTTGCTATAAACAATATAATATTATCAAGATTTTAATATACACAATTAGCGAAGCTAAATACTTTACCACAACTGTTAAAGTTACTAATTCATTTTCTCATTCATTAATCTTTTTATTTTTTATGTTTTTTCTTTGAATTGTAGCCTTCAGGTACATTTATTTTCTGTGTCCATTCAAACAAATTCTTCAATTAATATACCGGAGTACAAGTAAATTAGAAAATTTATATTTCTGTAATATTTAAACATAAAATCGATTAACAATATTTTAATTTCGCATAATAATCTAGAGATGATAGTTTGTCTCCAGTGAATTCAATTGATTCTTTTTTCAGCCTACCTAATATATTGGTTAGTACCCTTGAGCAATGTGGGCGTTTCAAGAAACCATTGCACACTGTCAATACATTTTTTAACGGCCCCTTGACATTTCTGGCACAATGATCTTTCGCTAAGTTAAGCTGATAACGTTTCTTGAAGATTGATCTATTTTTAATATCTGTTAGCTGCAAGAGATAATTTGTCCTTTCAATACACCCAAATGCCAAAAGAATAACTAATAGCTATATTTTTCATTATGTCCGTTTTGGGGATTTTTCATTTAGTTACATCCTCAACTATCTCAGAAGTATGATAGGTCCTTGAATATTTATCCACATTTTTAAAGTCTCCTGTTTGTGAAGACATAGCCGAATAAAGAATCATCGGATGATAAATAAAAATTGGTGTTGTTCAATAAAACATTCCATATACAACACCAAATGGTTTGGATACATGCTGACAGTTTATCATTCCAAAAAATGTTAATCCAAAGATTTTTTATATACTTATACTATATAGAATAGAATAGAATAGAAAATAGAACTTTATTCTGGGACTAAGTCCCCTTAGAATAACAAAGATGAATTAATACAAAATAAAATACCAATCTTTCCAAAAACTAACTTATAAAAATTCTAGTATTATATAAATTATTTAAAAAGTAGTATGTAACCACTAAGAAATAATCAAAAACAAAAAAATATATATATACTTATTATTGTGTTGAGAAAAAAAAATAAAAAGGAAGAAAAGAAATTACATATCTATATATACATAACTGCACAATTTATAAATAATAGGATATCTAATAGAAAAATAATTTAATACAAAATGTAATAATATTTACAGCGATTCATATAATAATAAGCAAACGCTAAGATAAAATAAAATCTCAGTATTAATTGTGGTACTTAAAGGTACTTACTCATATTGGTACACAGAGAGACAAAAAGTATAAAATATAAACATATATATATTATGGAAACTGTTATTATTAAATATTATATATGCTATATATTATGTATTATATAAAAATATAGCAATATCTACAACTTTTCCACTACATTATTATAAAAATGTAATTTCTAAAAAATACAAAAACCTCATAGAATTGCAATCTGTTCCAAATCCTTCATTGTTCTTGTTCCATTGTTCTGGAATTACCTGATCTGTAATAAATATTTAAAACCGCGAAAAACTTAATTTTTGTTTTACTAACTGTGTTGATTAATCTCGTCCTCATTGATAGGAATACATGGATATATCAAAATTAATCTTTTTAGAGATGTCACACTGTTGAACTTAGGGGAGCGATACCAATTATGATGAATCAAAGTCCTCTTTCAACTACAAATATCTACTGACTAAGCACATGAAATAGAGGTTGTCACAGAAGGGATAATTATGTTTAGGTATACAACAATAAATAGAAGAAGAGAAGTTGTTTTCCTTGGCAATATTTCTAAATTTGGGCTTTAAAGTAAAAAGAGAAAAACAACTAAAAATCATAAAACCAATGTCTACGCTAGAAGCAAAAATCAGCTTAGACCAGACCCACATTATCACAGACCCTCAATAATAAATAGAAATAACTACAATAAATACTGCAAGATGGGACACCAACGTATAGAATTTCGATGATAATTTTAAAAGACAGTATGGAAAAATTCCTAATAAATTTACAGCTCCAACTAGAAGTTTATCTCCAATTAACAACTAAAATGGGTTCCAGTCTTCTTAACACGCAAGGTAAGGATGATATTTTGGTAGGACACATTAAAAAACTTGGGGATATTCCATTGGAAATATTACAAGATGTCAAAAGAGCCCCTAAATCCATGATGTATATTCCTACATAACAAAGAATACTCTGATTCTTCCCGTCTTTGCCTTTTTTAGGCTATACGAGATTTTCCTGCGCCAGGGAGTGAGAGCGGAGGATTAACGCCAGAGTTAATAGCTCCCCAACACCGGGATGCGAACTCGCGATATCAAGTTATAATCTTATCAGGTTGTCGGCCACCTCAGCACTTCGTCCCGAATACACCAAATTATTTGGCCCCTCTACTTTGTCAGGGTATGACTAGAAGATAGTACGTCAGATCTACTAGTCTATCACGGAGTCCCTAAATGAGTCCATGTCCAGTGAGCTCTGTCAAATCCAAACTTCTAGTACAATACTTTATAGGATAGAGCTGGTTCTCATTTTGCATACGATGTAATTGCATACTTTTGGACAATACCGTCAATTTAATTACATACTCTAAGTAAAAAGTTTCCAAATCATAGTGGAAAGGAAACTACGTTTGATGGTCAATGAGAACAAAAGAAAATACATAATGGCGCAGGAGATTCCAAGGCAGGTTTGTGTTAGAGTAGAGTTCGGAACCTATAGGTTTTAGTAGATTTTGGAATATTTATATCTTTTTTTTTTTTTTTTTAATTTTATTATGATATTTACAATTGTATTAGTATGAATACATCAAGTAAATGTGTACAGAGAAATATTATCACATGAAACACGCTTGTTGAGAAACTACCCACTGGTAGCACTCTAATAATTTGTCTACATGAGAAGATCACGAGGCCATCTTCTTTTCAGACGCCTCGGAGGGTTATCAGGAATCGAAGAGGAAGCAAGGTTAGAAACAAGAGGATTCGGATGGTTATAAAGTTTATTATGGAAGGATAGGTATCTGGATTTGGCCAAATCGGAAACATATGGAACATTGAGGTCTTTATGGATTATTTTATTAGTGACAAAGTAAGGAACATTGAGGATTTTACGAAGGATTTTGGATTGTAAGGATTGGAAGCGAGAGGAATTCGATGGTTTAGTGGAGCCCCATAGCTCAACTCCGTAAGTCCAAATAGGTTTTATTATAGTCAAGTATATGAGTCTTTTGTAATTAATGGGAAGTTTAGAGCGTTTGTCTAGTAAGTGTTGGAGTAGTCGGAAACGTCGAGCGGTTTTTTGTCTTTTCAGTCTGGTATGAGGATTCCAAGTTAGACGTTTGTCCAAGTGAAGTCCAAGGTATCGGATTTGTTCAACAGAGATAAGTGGGGTATTATTAAAGGATACTGTAGGACATGAGGTCATAGGTTTACGTCGAAGGGTAAAGGTGATTTGATGGGATTTATTAGAATTTATTTTAATCCTACAGTTTTGACACCATTTTTCAAGGCTTGTGATGTGTGATCGAAGAGTTTGGGATGCAATGGTTGGGTCATTATTAACGGATAGGACACATGTATCATCGGCATACGTGGTAATAACAGTGTTAGAATGGGTTGGGATGTCAGCTGTATAAACTGTGTAAAGGATAGGACCAAGGATACTACCTTGAGGAACTCCGGCAGATTGAGAAAAGAGGGATGAATAGGTATTATTGTGATTTACTTTGAAGGGCCTATCAGTAAGATAGGAACTGATGATAAGAAAATATGTAGGGGGAAGGAATTTACGGACTTTGTAAAGCAATCCCGGATGCCAGACTCGATCAAACGCCTGTTCAACGTCGAGAAAAACTCCAGTGCAATACATTCCGCGCTCCAATGCAGAGGAGACGACGTCTACCACACGATGACATTGCTGGATAGTGGAATGGGATGTGCGGAATCCAAATTGGTGATCAGGGATTATGTGGTTAGAATCTAGGATGGGATACAGGCGTTTTAAGATGAGCTTCTCCAGGATTTTGCCCATGACGGGTAAAAGAGAGATAGGACGGTAAGAGGATGGGTATTCTGGTACCTTTTTGGGTTTATGTATCATTTTGACTACAGATAGTTTCCAAGGGTCAGGAAAATATGTGGAACGGAGTACGGCGTTATAAATGTAAGTAAGGAATAGAATGGCTTTTCGAGGAAGTAGCTTAAGAATGTGGGAAGTGATTAGGTCGTGGCCAGGAGCTTTGCGGGAGGGTAATCTGTGAATAATATTGGATATTTCTGAAGGATGAAATGCTTTAGGAGGAGGAGTCATTTGGAGTGGAATATCCAGTTCTGTTTCAATACATTCAAGCTGATTTGGATTAAGGATATCAGGATGTGGATTAAAAGCTTTGAAGAGGTGATGAGCAAAAAGTTGGGATTTTTCTTCATCAAATTTGGATCAAGTTTCAGCTTCAGTAAGAAGTGGATGATTAAAGTCTTTAAATTTCAGGAGCCGTTTAGTCGTTGTCCACAGTGATTTGTCGGTAGGTGTAAGTTTTTCAGTAAAATTTAGTAAATTTTGAATTTTCTAATTTCTGATTTTAGTTTTTTAGTCAGTTGGGTATAATGAGTTTTATCTGTTGCATGTATATCTAAGTTCATAAATAACCAATTATAACATAATGGATGTAGATGAAATCAGCAAACGCATCCCCGATGTTCTAAAATTCATAAAAGATAGGCAGTCATCTGACGTGGGCCCGATGAAGCTCCTGATTTGCATGGATAGAGACCTGACGGAAGACGTAAGTTTCGATGTGTGGACATATTAATCAAAAACGTGGAGTGATAAATTAGATGGTTGTATTGTAAAAAAGGGAGACCTGACGCTTGCTGTTGACGGGGACTCGCTATCAAGCTGTAGCGCTAAATTAGATATTTGTTCAATAATAGTATCTACAAATATACCTCCAATATACAAGTGCCAGAATATCATTGAAATGGAGAACTTAAATATTTGGGCTTGAAAATATCTTCAATATTATATCTATTGAAATAATTCCAAATCAATTGCGATTACACCTAAAGGTATTGCTTCATTCCATCTGTTGGGTAGGATATGATATTAAGAAAACTATACTATGACAAATCCTTAAAGTTACTCTTACCTTCTATAACTACTAGTAGGGAATACGAAATTGTGCTATTTGCATCATAGATTTTCCTCATTGTATGCTAAAACAGATTATATTCTTGTAACATTAATCAAAAAACGATAACTCCAGGCACATTTATCAAAAGCCGAATCGCTCACAAAGGTCCATAGAGTGATCTGCTTCCTACTCGAGGGCCAAGGTCCTTGCTAAGAGAACTATATATACCAGCGGCCCGGAGGGCTACGGTACAGTTGTCTTTTCCAACAGCCAACAGCACCTCCTCAACATGAAAACCTTCTTTGTGAGTATAATATTTCAATAATATGGCTTATATAGGTATGCAAGATAGCATCGAACAATTCTGAAAAACAAACCACGTCCATAATATTTTTAATTGATTGCTTTTACATCATCACAGATAAATCATCATATTGAAAGGCGTATATTAATCCTGGAATATATAATATAAATTTAAAATATTTTCTTTTTACATACCTCACTTTGTTCACACATTGAACTTATAATACAAAATAATGATGAAACATTATCGAATAAAATATTATTTTAATATTTAGATGAATCGTAAAATTCTTTTTTTTATTATTGAAATTTACAGATGTATTAAATGATAAATACAACAAGCAAATATGAAATAAGTAACATGACATGTACAACGATGTAATGAAGAGAAACTACCGATTGGTAGCACTCCACATCGTAAAATTCATGTTGGAAACGTAAAACGCTTACAGATATATTCGAAACAACAAACAGCATTTTATTTTATTTTATTCAATATTCAAAATCATTTTATACTATCAGAAATTTTATAAAATTAATATGGAACGATTCATATTTATTTTCTATTTTCTATTCTATAACATATTTATTCAACGTTATAGTAACAAAAATATTCTCAAAACATTTTTTTATTTTTTTACTAATCAATCAAATGTGATAAATTCGTTAAACCATCGTTAGATATAATAAAATATCTGTTATTCTAGGTTTTTATATATTTATATCAGCTAAAATTGCCAGAAAAAACTCGTTTGTCACGTTCTTGAGATATATTTCCTCTTCTTAAATATTATAATTTACCTATATTTATACCCTGTATATATACAGATATAAATGATAAAATGGAGGCAATACTTCTAGTATTCCTACACAGTTTATTACTGTAATTATGATATATAAATTCAATTACATATATTTTTAATGAATTATCATGGAATGTTATTTCAGGGATTTTATTATTATTAGTGTTGATATTTTAGTTTGTTTTTTCGGTTACCACCTTCTTCGCCGTTTCTGGCATACAGAGATGAGGGAGGTTTCGTTGTAAGGGTGTAATAAAACCTATTCTGACCATAATGGGAATATCGAGATTCATTCCGTGGCTCAGCCGCACGAAATATATTTCAACTCGCTCAGACCGGATTCGAAATGCAGACGCTGGGCTAGATAATCTTAAAGTGGACAACGCTTTAACACATTCGGTCATTACTATCTCTCATTTGCGATGATTAAAAATAGATACTTTTTTTTTTTATAACATATAATGTACCATTTTTACTTTGGGGATGGGAAATTCTTCGAAGATTCCTCCCTATATGGTGATATGGTCATTCCTTAGAAATCTACAAAAGAAGACATCAGGTCAATGAGATTCAATCTAGTAGTCTACAGGTTTAAGCATTGCCTATTTTAAATACTGTTGCTGCCTGTAGAAGGCATGGGTTCCTCTCGGAATGTGCTCGGTTCTTTCTTCATCTACTGGACAACGAAGAATATAGAATCTTGAACTCATTATCTGTAGAGTTTATCTTTTTTCCTTGGACAAATATATAAGAAAAACTGAATGCATTCTCGTGGATTTCTAAATACCCTCAAGAATTTAAATATCCTCAAGCCCTTCAAGAATTTTTCATTTTATTTTATTTTTTTCAAGAATTAAGAAATACCCTTATAGTTTTCTTCTTTATAATTCCAGGCACGCTGTAGTCTGAGTGCACTAATTAAATCATCTTTCATTTTCAAATATAAAATGAGTTATTTAAGTTAGCTCTATATCTGTACCCGGTATGGGACATGGTGTTATTGTTTTAGTCACGCCTAGAAATGTGCCACCCATCCTTTGACTGTTTTAAACCTCATTTTTTAAACTCTTTTTTTTAATACATCTCGTCATTTCTGGCATACGGGAAGGTGGATGGAGGGTACATGTAGGTACAATCAAACCTATTCTAATGAGAGAGGAAAAGTCGGGATTCATTCAGTAGTTCCACCTCGAAATAAATTTAACCCACACAGGCCGGATTCGAACTGCCACCGCTATACCTGACAATGATAAAGAGAGCAATGCTTTAACTGGCTTGGCCACAACAGCCTCTTAACGTTCTTTTTTATTATAACATGACTGATTGTCTCCTCAAACAGGTTTGTAATTATACTAGGCTATGGGTAACTGTATTTGTTATAGCAGTTATTGCTCTTATGGTTTCTAATAATGTCTAATAACTTCGTCAAGCCTCATTTCATGGTTTCACTCACCATGGTGAAAGTGAGGGGACCAAAAATCCTATCCATTCTATAATATAGATGCATAACCATACTAATTAATATATTCTAATTCTCCATTTTATTAAAAATAAAGTTGAATTACAAAAAAAAATATATAAAATTAATAAATCAATAAAATTTTATTATTATTTACGAAACATACAATATCATTCAAATGTCTTATTAACTAATAATGTATTATTTTTTACTTTAGGTTTGCCTTGTCGTCGTAGCCGCCGCAATGGCCGCTGAGCAGAGGGACAAGAGAGGACTGCTGGCCCCAGCCGTCGCCGCCCCCTTGGCAGTTCCTTACGCCGCCCCCTACGCCGCCCCATACGCCGCCCACGTCGCCGCCCCAGCCCTCGTCGCCCCTAGGGTAGCCTACGCCGCTCCCGCCTATGCTGCCCCAGCCTACGCCGCACCCGCCTACGCTGCCCCAGCCCTCGCCGCACCACTTCATGCTCCTCTCCTCTCCAAGACCATCGTCTCCCCATATGCTGCTCACGCCCCACTCGTCTGGTAAATAGCCACCTTCTCCTTCTAAAACAAGATTAATACTTCCCAAGATACCAACCTGTGATTTAATAAATAAACCATCCTTTAAATCAAATACCCAGTAATAGTCTTACAATCAAATAAATTATTATATTCATGATGTAATTGCTGCATTTCTTATATTATCCTTGATAACAAATCCTCAATTTTTCTAGCGTTATGTCTACATCAGGTGTTTTTATCAGATCTATATAGAGCGATGTATCCTGATAATACTGCCGTTTCAGCCAAACATAAAAAACCCAGCTCAAGCATCCAAATATTTACAAAACCGCATTCACCAGTTTCAAATCTGTGGAGAACCAATAGATTCTTCGTCGTAATCTATGTTACTTGACCAACAAAATTTGACTCGGACTGACACAGTAAAATATTTTGGGTTGGAGCAGGATAAACGGCTGAACTGGATTAATATCAAATAAAGATAAAACTTAATGTTCGACTCAAATTACTTCTTCATCTTTTAGAAAAAGGATTAAAATCATTACATGTTATTGTATAATTTTTAGAGATTTAGTATTTTGATTATGATGATAGATTTAGAAGATTTAGTCGCCACCGATCTTGATTGGGATTGACATTTCTGACCATTTTAACTACAGAATACATGTAAATTACATTAACAATTTGAGCAACGAGCAATATAATTAAACGCACAGTTGCATAATTTGTAAAATTGGAGTATGTCCATTGTTAGGCACCTCCATAGTATTAAAGAAAAATAATATTTTGGTATATTCAAATATATTTTAAGTATTAATAAGTGATAAGAAGAAAAAAGAAATTAAAATTTCGCATTTGTACAATTATTACTCAGATATATTTACGATAACGAAAAAATTCAAATGTTTATTATAAAATTGTTCAATAATAATCCCGAACAAAATTTAAAGTATAAATATAATTTTTCCATTCAAAATGATAATATTCAATTGATCCAATAATTCAATTTTTTTTTTCATACCGTTAAATCTTCTTTGGTACTTTACATTCTTATATAATAAAAATTAATAGTTTTCTCAAAACTGATTTTATTTGGAAAATACATCGCAAGATCGCAAGATTGGAAATGAAAGATAAAGAAAAGAAAACGTTATTTTGTTCCAATGTTCGCCCTCAGGTTACCAACTTATTTTGGGCTATTGATAAACATAATTGTTATAATAAAAAATATATAAATAGAGCTTTTTGAAAATATTTTTATTATTACAGCTAATGTAAAACATATAAAGGCTTTGATTTTATATACAACGATGTCTTCAAGGTCCGAAGTAATGTAGGTTGCACTGCACAGTGGGACAGAACTTGGCATAAATCCAAAAATTGAACGGATGAACAAAATTCTCAGGACTTTCAGTCAAGATATTTTTATATTAGGTTAGCCCACGTTTTGACCCAAACATGTGGGTCATCCTCAGAGCTACCGTTTGGAAGTCGAGACAAACGTTTGCCTTCCAAGACTTCCGAACGATGGCCCTGAGTATGATCCATATTTTTAGGTCGAAACGTCGGCTAAATATCTTGATTGAAAGAATTGAAAATTTTTTTTCATCCATATAATTGATCATTTGACTATTTACTAATCCCAAAAATTTAATGTTCTATTTTCACCAATTGTTATCGATGCCTTATGGACTAAACAAGATCAATCCAAAGTTGGTTTTCTATTTTTTATTTTTGTAATTCAACTTTATTTGTTAATAAAATAGAGAATTAGAATATATTAGTTAGTATGGTTATGCACCTATATTATAGGATGGATAGGCTTGTTGGTCCCCTCACTTCCACCAAATGCCAGAAATGGTGAGTAAAAAAAATATATATATAACCTTCTGAATTGGGTAAGCATATTCATATAAAATATTAAACAGGCGTGGGATACAAAACCATAATCCATTATACAAAAAAACATTCAAAAAAGATATTGGCAAGAGGTAAATATGATTGATGGAAATATTTTAAGCGTCTTGACGACTCATATTTCGTTATAATCATGTGCTAATATTAATCTACCACTCACCATATTAGAAAAAGTTGGATCCTAGTTCTCTTTTAGACAAAACACTAACTTAGTACACACGTACCAGAATTTAATAACAAAAGCTCAACTGACGATTTGGCTAGTTATATAAATTAGTGAAAGAACATTCCGTCTTTCAATTGACAAGCTATTAGTCAACATGGCCATAATGATGAAACACATCTCGATTTATGAAGTTGAAAACAGCCGAATTTCGGAACTTAAAGTGGTTGCTTTATAAAATGCCTCCATTGGCTTTTAATATTAGTAATGTGGCTTGATGAGAAGGGATATCCTGGAGTCCTGGCATGCTTTCTCAATGTCGAAGTTTCCTTAGGCGAATGTAAATATTGTATTCAGGTATCAGTGTGTGTCAAAATAATTTAGAGGAAGGAAGTGGTCTGGGGTGGCGGTCATAAATAGACTAAAATAGTGGCCAAACTATTTTATTATAAGCCAACGTTTCGACCCGACTTTACAGATCTTCTTCAGAGAGGTGTGTTTAGCAAGGAGTTTCACTTAAAACTGGAACTCTTAAAACACTCAGTTTTAAGTCAGTCATTCAGGGTGTTCATATCTATAGTTTTCTTTAAGTGCCTTCCTAACACTAAATTTTTGTGATCTTCCAATTAAACTACTATGAATAGTAAATTAAGAGAAATTCAGCAGATATCTACTCTATTTAATTTTTTTTTAATTACGAAGTATTATGAAAGAATATAAATTTTAGTTAAATGGCAATGAACCTTCAGGTATAGGTGAGAAAGAGAGAAAGAAAAACTTGATGGAAATTAACTAATAAAATGTTTGTGATCCTCCAATCAAACTAATATGAATAGTAAATTAAGAGAAATTCAGCAGATATCTACTCTATTTATTTATTTTTTAATTACGAAGTATTATGAAAGAATATAAATTTTAGTTAAATGGCAATGAACCTTCAGGTATAGGTGAGAAAAAGAGAATAAAAAACTTAATGAAAATTAACTAATAAAATGTTTGTGATCTTTCAATCAAACTAATATGAATAGTGAATTAAGAAGAATTCAGCAGATATCTACTCTATATAATTTTTTTTTAATTACGAAGTATTATGAAAGAATATAAATTTTAGTTAAATGGCAATGAACCTTCAGGTATAGGTGAGAAAGAGAGAAAGAAAAACTTGATGGAAATTAACTAATAAAATTTTTGTGATCCTCCAATCAAACTAATATGAATAGTAAATTAAGAGAAATTCAGCAGATATCTACTCTATTTAATTTTTTTTTAATTACAAAGTATTATGAAGGAATATAAATTTTAGTTAAAAGGAAATAATGGAATAATGGAAATTTACTAGTGAATAGAAAAAAAAAAAAAAATATATATATATATATATATTCAATACATTATATATATATATGTGTGTGTGTGTGTGTGTGTGTGTGTATCAAGTAACGTAATTTGGCCAGTCAAAGGGCTTTAAATTTATACAATTTTTTTAACGTGAAACAGATCCATCCAACGAAGAGTTTTCTTGTACGATTTCCTTGACATTTGGTTTTTATGCACATAATGACGATCCAAATATTTTCGTTAAATTCAAGTCAGATGATTGCGATGTGATGTGATGATTAAAAATTAATGTTTCTCCTATCATATTTTAATATACTTGACCGTTTTTTACATTTTAGTCCAGGTGCTGTACCCAATCCTAACGAAAATGGCAAAAGCGGACCGTGCCTCCGGAATAGGACTTGGTTATGGTCAAGGTCAGGGGAGAACCGGTCTGGTTCCTTAGTCATCCGCGGGGTACAGCCGTCGTCTATATTTTTTGTTGACATTTTGTCTTGGTAAATATCGGAAAGTTTATAAACTTAGTGATGAGCTCATCGATGGTATCGGAACCGTCTTTAAACTGAAAGAAGCGATGCCACCGATGAGCTCAGCGCTCAGTTTAAAGACACGCCCAACCCCAAACCGTTTGAATCTGTAGATGGAAATGAACAACTACGTTAATTAACAAGGGGAACTAGGGAAGTACAAGACCCATTTCCGAGGGCTCTTGCCAAAGCGCTCTATAGGCAAGAAAAAATATATTTAATAAAATTTTAATTTTTTTAATAATAATCTTTTCTAAACCAGATAGCTTTAAACTACGTCGTGCGAATGTTTCTTTGTTGCATGGAAATAAAATAATTTTTAAAATATGAAATTTAGTAAATCACTCCACACAAGGTTACTACCAATTTTATTTCACCACTCGTTTCTCTTAGAAAGCTCATTTTACAGCTCAAATGTCATTTTCTGAAGAAAAAAATATTTCTTATCACAAGCCATGAATCAGTGGAGGTGTCAATATGGCCCGGGATACAATAAATTTGGAGATCTCTGCGCATCATCTCTAGATTTTAAATAAATCCACCAATTTGTTTTCTGTGGGTAAAACAACAAACACATATTGCTGAGTAAGTTAAACGATTTCAAATGTGTAAGAAGTCCAAAGACGTTTCACGTAATACTTTACTGGAACCTACTGGTCAGTGATTTGTTTGCGTATTCCTTTTTTGTTTTGGCGTGTGCCAATTCGTGTAGTTCATATAACCTTAAATCCCTGCTCATTTCCGTATGGATAGGTAGAATCGTGATGGAGTTATCACAGTTTTTGTTGTTTTCGAAAAATGAATCTAAGGACTCATCCACAAAGGTCTACCAGCACCGATCATCGCTAAAAATTAAAAAAAAAAAGTTTGGAAAAAACGAAATGAAAAACAGATCAAACAGCAGCTCGGCTAGTGGCAAATGGGTGAACTAAAGAAAAACAACTGTTATCCGTTTGGAAGAACAGTTCATTCGTTTGAGATATTGACCTGTTCTTTTTAAACGTTAGGCGTTTTCTCTTCCACCGTTACCCTCGACACTTACCACCGATCCAGGCCTCGGTACTGTCTGATTTATAGCTTAAAGTTTTTTTTTTACTTTAACTCATTTTCACAAGAACGAATTATAATTAATTTATGGATTTGTTCTTATATTTATAGACATTTCAGAAATATTAAAATATGTTTATTTTTTTTCTACTAAAATAATCAAT